CTTGTTGTGCTATAAATGGCATTTCTCCTGAGCAGTTCGGATGGAGTCCGTCCCGTCTGTGAGGGGAGCCCCATTTTTCCACTAGTCATACTGTGCAGGCTGATCACATCAAGAAGCAAGCTGAGACGGCTCTGAAACTCATCCCTGTGGCTGCAGTAGTCTGGCTCTCTGTGCTCCTGTGAAATTCTTGTGAGTTAGATGCTGTTTTTTTCAGCTCCCAGTACGCTCTGTGGGGTCTTTTGCCCAGTGGTGGTCTCATTTATGCGCTGCTGGCCAGCCTATCTCCTACCGAAAGGGGATTCAGAGAGAGGTGCTGAGTATGATCAACGTCCTAGAAAATCTCTCCTGCAAAGAGAGTGAAACAATTGGGGTGATTACCTTGGAGAGCAGAGGAGGAAGAGGAGACATAATAAAAGTCTGGCAAGAACACATCACCAAGGAGGCATTCAATGCCATTTAAAGGTGGGACATTCTAGCCGATAAAAGGAAACCGTTTTTCCTGCAATGAGTAATGGGACTGTGGAACTCCTCGACACAGGAAATCAGTGAGGCGAGAAATTTAGCAAGTTACAAGAAGGGACTGGACACACAGCGATATCATGAGTACCCAGAGTTGGTCTAACTCGTGGTAACACATTTTGGAAGGGAGATCAGATAAAACCTCCCACTTCTGGGCTAAACGAGTCTTCAATGACTAGAGACCGGGGTGAGACTTGCTATGGTGGCGTGGGGCAGATTATCCCATGCTTGCTTCTGTGGGTGCTTACGCCTTCTTTGGACGCGCCTCTCAGAGGTGGGTTTCTGGGCTGGATGGCCCAGTCTGGCAGTTTGTATCTTGACTGGCTGAGCGCATGGTGAGGACTCAGGGCTGCTCTCACGGCTGGCGCACAGATTGCTCTGAGCATCGGGGACGGCCCGGATGTGAGATTTGAGTTGTGCACAATGCCGTCCCGGGGGAGGGGAGGGGAGAAAAGGTGGCCTTGGGTTGGCCGTAGAAGGCTACAAGCTGAGACGTGTGGTTCCCAGGACCACCGGTGCTCTTGGACACCTCTCTGCAGCTCAGTTTCTCCTCAGTGCAGGAGGGATAATAATTCTGGAGCGTGTTACTGTGGAACCAGAGAGCCCCAGTTAGAAGCCAGGCCTGCATTGCGCTAGGGCAGGGGTGGGCAAAATGTGCCCTTGCGGTTGGCCGTAGAAGGCTACAAGCTGAGACGTGTGGTTCCCAGGACCACCGGTGCTCTTGGACACCTCTCTGCAGCTCAGTTTCTCCTCAGTGCAGGAGGGATAATAATTCTGGAGCGTGTTACTGTGGAACCAGAGAGCCCCAGTTAGAAGCCAGGCCTGCATTGCGCTAGGGCAGGGGTGGGCAAAATGTGCCCTTGCAATCTGGCCTGCCTCCCGCTGGGCCCCTCCCGCAGCATTC